AAATGGGAGTCTTTGCAGTTAGTGTGTCTATATGTGTATGTGTATGTGTATCATACAGTGCTGGAAATCCGACCTCATCAACAGGGGGGGGGGGATGCAGATATAAACTGGAATGGCCAAATGGGAGTCTTTGCAGTTAGTGTGTCTATATGTGTATGTGTATGTGTGTGTGTGTGTATGTGTGTCTGTTCCACTGATATCTCAAGAACCATACATTGATTTTTGATGAAACTTGGTGCATAGATGCTCTGGGTCAATGCTTAGATTTGATTAGGTTTTGGTAAAAATCCATGCATATTAATTAGCTGATTTTTAGCTGTTCCATGACTGTTCCACTGATATCTCAAGAACCACTCATTGGATGTTGATGAAACTTGGCACATATATGCTTCAAACTAATGCACAGATTTGATTAGTTTTGGGTAAAAATCTGCAATATTAATTACCTAATTTGCATAATGATTAATCAATTTTGGGCTTTTCCACGTACTAATCATCACATTTCAATAAAACTTGGTACATAGATGTCATGGGAATCTGCACAAACCTGATAGTTTTTAGGGTAATATCAGTACATATTAATTACCTAATTTGCATAATTTATTAATTTTCAGCTTTTGATATTTCAAGTAGTAATCATCACATTTCAATGAAACTTGGTACATAATTACTTAAGGACTGTGCAGACCCCTGATTAGTTTTGGGGTAAATATTTGTGCATATTACCCGGTAATTAGCATAATTAGTTAATTTTCAGCTTTTTGTCTGATATCTCAAGTACTAATCATCATATTTCAATGAGACTTGCTACATAGATCTTCTTGGACGATGCAGAGACCTGATTAATTTTAGAAGGGAATAAAGGGAAGTTGTGCAACCAAATTTGCAGAGTTTGCAGTTTTTCGCCGATAAAACAATAACATTCCGGAGGGGGTGAAACGAAAGAGCATCGCCAGGCGATGGATGCGGGGCTTTTTGGCAACGACCGCAAACGTATCCATGTCCAGCCATTGGTTGGCCACGTAGAGGTCAAAATACGCGTTCTATTTTTACGCGTTAAGTTTGGCTCTTTCGTTTCCGGAATGTTCTACTTTCGCAGCCTAATCGCAGGTTTTTCAAAAAACCT